TTGGATACATGTTAGGTACAAGTCTGACTTTCCTTAGTTATAGTATCAAGTGATGATGTGACCACTTTTCCCTTGAGCAAAATCCTGAAGCTTAAGAAATAAGGGCCTTGTTTGTCTTGTTTCTTTGGTTATCAGGAGGTAACTGCTCTTCAGTTTGTTCTGAACCAAAAAGGAAGATTAAGCATATAGTTTTATAGGGATAACAATGTTACAGAAGAAGCAGCCGGAAGTTCTAAGGGTTTGAATCTTGGAGATTTTCGTGGCCCTTCTTTTTGTGATTCTATAATATGTAGCTTCGTTGGTCTGTGCCTGGTGAAGGCTGTAAAAAAGCTACAGTTTTTACACCTTTAATAAACAAATTAGTCTTTGTATTGGTTAGTTTTTTCTACCTGTAGGCTGTTATAAAATTAAGGCTTGTGTCTCATGTTTAGTTTTACTGTAAAAGGTTTTTAAAAATGTTTTATGAATCTTGTTTTTCCTGATAATAACTTTTAATTACTTTGCCAGTGTTTCTTTTTATTCTTAATAAATTATCAACTGCTATACAACTTATAGTTTGTAAGTCAGCTATCTTCCTTTCTGTTGAAAGGATTTTCCATATATGTACCTGTTAACTAATCCCTCCTGTGCATGGAGGCATATTTGTCTTGATCAATATAAAGATAACATTTCATATAGCCAAACTGTTTATTTCAAGGACATTCATGAACCTTCTAGTCAAGTGTAAAATATGTAAGCTAGCTACAATGTAGTCAAAATCCCCACAAAACCCCAAAGTACTGGAAATTTTTTCATGTCAGCCTACTCCTGTCCTTTCAAGATTAGGCTATTACTATTTCCGTGGTAATATACAGAAATTGAACAGAGATGCTAAAAAAAACACACTTCTTGAGACCAGTATTTTAGTTTCCATATGGTAGAAGTGTGTAAGATTTGATTGTGTGTGTGCTACAGTTTGTGAGGTATTGAACTTCTGTAGTCAACCTGTAGCAACTAACAGTCAACAAGTTTCTTTCTAGTCCTATCCCTAGATCAGAGTTAAGAGGAAGAAGTGGAAAAAAGAACTGGGACACATTCTGTTGTGGCTATAAGCTGTAGAATAACCTGAGAGTTGGGGCGGGGTGATAGGGTAAAGGGAGATGTTCCATAAAAGTAAACTTAAACTTCCATTTCTTAGATCTACTACTAGTTTCCATGCAGTGTGTCTGACATTCTGCAGCACAGTTGGAACTTGGCTTTTCAGTCATCTATTTGCTCTAAGGCTCAGTACTCCCGGAACTACTTGTGTTCATCTGCAGAGAAGTGTTCTTGAACACTCATCCTAAATACACTTTTTTTTTTGACTATTTTTTCAATGATGATGAAAATCAGGTGGTTTTTTTGGAAGGGTGTCTTGTCTTAGCAGTAGTATAACAAGTTATTTTCTTGTTTTCAAACAAGTTGATTTCCAACTCCTTCTTTAGAATACCTAATAAATTGACCATATTTTTCTTTCCATTTGAAGCCACAGCATCAAGAACAACCAGAGGCATTGCCTTGCTTTGACTGAAACCTCTACTTGGTTGCACAAGACTCTGTGAAACTGTAGCTCTGTGGTTGATTTTTATGTTGTTTCTGTATAGGTCTTCGTGTTGTATTTGTGGTAGCTCTTTCCCGTGTTTAACAAAGCAATAAAAAGAAAACTGATTTTCAGTTTAATGAAAGATACTACCAGCTGGGAAGACTTCTTTTCTGTTTCAAAGTGTGAAGTGACTTCAGGTTGTCCTAAAGCACTTGGGTAAAACCTTATGTTTTTGAAAAGTCATTATTGTACCTTCATGAAACTTCTTGGGCATTGTTTTGTCCTTATGTTGCCAGTAAGATCCTTGCACAAAAGGAAAAAGACTTCAGGTTAAAACCTTCAAACTTACTTTTTACTGCCTTAAAGCTCATGCTTTTTTTCTACAGAAGCTAAGCTTAATTGTGATGCTGTTCAGTAATTTTTGAACACTCTGAGCCGATTGAAAAGATTTGTAAGAACTTGTTATCCTCTCCTCCAAAAGCTTTCTCTATCAAAGTGTAGTAACAGGCAAAAGATCAAAAGATAGAAACTTGCTGCAATGCCCTGGTAGGAGGTAGAAAAGAGAGATGTCCAGTTGATGCTGCAGTTTGCACTGGAAACTTTCTGCTTCTACTAGCATCTGGACACAATGCTGTGGTAACCCAAATTTGTTGTAGTAGTTGGGTGGATCCTATTCCTCTCTCTACTCCAAACTGACCTTCTCTACAGAGTGTGTGGGTCCCTTGCATCAGCTCTTGTACAGTTTCTGTTCTGGGGAATTCTTCCTCTGTCATGTATCGTTTCTTCATAAATCTTTATAAACCACTGCTTCGGGGTAGAAGAGAGGGCAGAATTGTCTGTGTACTGTTTAAGTAGCACTGAATTGCATTGTCTTCTGTGTAAATACTGATACTCAGTGTTGTCTTCACATATATTTAATTTTAAGATACGATTTACATTTCATTCTTCAGCATGAAACCTCCTTCCTAGTACACTTTGTTTGGAAGAAAATTGTCTCTGACTATAAACTATTGCCACAGACTTTTTTAAATTTTAAAATCCTGACTATATCTTAATCATAGTATTATATATAAAGATATTATAAATATATCGTGTTGTAAATATATGTATAGAAAATTTTATCTTATGATAAATTATCTGTATGTCATTGTGGAAAAAGAATGTTAGAGTAAAGGATGTTTGCAAGCTAACTGTACTTTGCATATGCAGGGGAAGGGGAGATGAGAAACCTGTTCCCTCATTGCTTTGTATCAGTAAGTTGTTGAATGGTGAGTTGCTGCATCAGTTCTGATGTTTGTCGAGCTTTGGAACTCTGCAGGCTGTTATTAACTTTACTTAGCTGTCCTATAGTAATATGCATTGAATTATGAATGTCAGTTGCAACCTTCTCTTTTATTTTTAGAATATGCAGTTGAAAAATTTTGGTTTTGTCCCCACAACATTAGCCACTCTGGTTCTAGGTACACTTTGCAAAGTGGTCCTCAAATTTTGCAGTAAGGTACATGCTACAGAGATAACTCTCTATCGTTAATGGTGTCATCTTTTTGACTGCTAAATGCTGGTTGCACAACAGCAACAGGAAATCTATACAAATTGTTCTGGGGAACTAAGTACCAGAAACTAGAAGTGTCCTTTTCTTAGTCTTAAATTTCTTTTCCTTCCAAGGTCTGTTTTTGTAAAGCTTGACTCCCATGATTTCTGTGGATCATTAAAGTTGAGTCCTTTTCTTCCCTTTTCTGCCCTATTTGTGTGCCCTGGTTTTCAGCTAGGATGGAGTTAATTTTCACAAGAAGTTGGGAGGGGAGACAGCCAGGACAGTTGACCCAAACTAGCCAAAGGGATATTTCATACCATATGACATCATGTTCAGTATAGAAGGGGCATGGGCTGGGGAGGAGGGGTCGCTGCTCAGGGGCTGGCTGGGCATCAGGTCAGCGGTGAGCAAACTGCATTGTGTATCACCCACCTTGTATGTTTTTTTGTTAGTATTGTTATTTTCCTCTTCCCTTGCTGTCATAGTAAACTGTCCTTATCCCAACCCATGAGTTTTACTTTTTTTCTTCTGATTCTCCTCCCCATCCCACTGTGAGGGAGAAGACTCAGCGAGGGGCCCCATGGTGCTTAGCTGCTGGCTGGGGCTAAACCACAACAGCCCTTTCTGGTGCCCAACATGGGGCCTGAAGGTTGATATGAGGACAGATCTGACCAGAGCATGCTAAAACAAATGTGTTGTATGCATTTATTGTATTAGTTAAATAGTTGCTGATCACAATGGTGTTTTGTTTGTTCCCATAGCTGTGTTATGTAAACCCTTACTTATTGTGTGTATTCCCTGTGGTGCTGTTTATCACCTCTGGGAGAGGGATCAGGATTCTCATTTTGCTGTACTGTGTAATATCAACTTATGATATAATAACATCAGTGGTCATGAGGTGGCCTTGCTGTCATGCCTGTACCTTGGACAACATCTCTTGGAATTCCTTAATAATTGCACCCAATCTATGGGGAAGATGGGGTGGGGAGGGGGAGGAATACTTTCTCCTACTCTTTCACCTCCCCTTTTTCCTTCAGGCTAGTAACAACAGCTTTTGAGAATTTTGAATACCCTTGGGATGTTCGAGCCAGCATGCTCTTATTACAGTGTCTCCTGAATGTGTTTCAGGTCTTGTTTAGGTTTACAAAAAATTGTTTTAAGAATACCACCCAGAGATCTGTCCCGAGGCTGAATAGTCATGAGTGGCACGACACATGGGAGAATATGGGCAGGTATCTAGAGAACTTCGTACCTCCAATGGTTTGGAACTTCACTCCCGAACAACTACAGAACCCTGATTAAAGTGATAGAATACTTGAAAGAAAAATGCTGTGGCTATTCCAAAGACAGTATCTACCAAACACTGCTTGGAATTATGCAGCACCCTCAGGGAGAAGAGAGGGGAAACAAACCAACAGGCATTGTGGCTACTCCAACCCCAGTGGCAGGCATTGTGGCTATTCAAACCTTGGTGCGGCTGAACCAAAAAGCCAACTGATGCCAGTATCAGTCACCCCTAGGCAGAAGAAATACACAAAAAAAAATCAGTTTGCTTAGTAAGGGATGACGATGAACCAGGACCATCATGCGAACAGGAGGAAGAGGCAGAACCAGAGGTGATCACCTGATCTCTGCCTCTGAGTGAGCTGTGAGATATGTGAAAGGATTTCAGCTGTCATTCAGCTGAGCACATCATTACCTGACTGTTCCAGTGCTGGGATAATGGGGCCAGTAGCCTGGAATTAGAGGATAGGGAAGCCAAGCAGCTGGGATCCCTGTCTAGGGAAGGGAGTATTGACAAAGCGATTGAGAAGAAGACACAAGCCCTCAGCCTCTGGAGGTGACTTCTGTCAGGCATGAACATTCAGTGAAGATTGGGTATGTCATCCAGGCAAGTGGACCGCTATGGAGAGAATATGTTCTATTCCCCACCTGTATGGACCAGTATCTCAGCTATTAGGAGTAAGCGTTCCTCTAATTAAGAAAGAGGATATAGAGGGTACACACCACAAAGCACCCTGTGTTTTTACCTACATGACCACAGAGAGGACACAAGGAAGTGGGTTTGAAAACCTACCTTGACGCTAGAGGCGTGAGTATGTGAGTTTCAAGGCAAAACAATCACATAAGGGGATTCTTCCAGGAAAAATGCCACTCCAGTTTCCAGCAGGCAGTCCCCTGGAGTGAGTGGAAGGCATGATCGTACTTATGATCTTCTTGAAGGGACCTCTAAGTCATTTTTGCAAGAAGTAAGTAATGAACATGATGAGCAGGACTAGAGGGGCCCTGCCTCCAGCCAGGTGGAGGAAAGGGACAACTGGGTTTATTGAACTCTGTGGATCTGATGGCCTGGCATGTCAGACCCACAAGACTGTAAGGCTCTAGTGGATGCTGGTGCACTGTGTACCCAAATTCCATGAAGCTATAACAGGACAGAACCTATCTGTATTTCTGTGTGACAGGGGGATCCTAACAGCCAACTGTGCTGGAGGCTGAAGTGAGCCTGGCTGGGAATGAGTGGCAAAAGCACCTTGTTGTGACTGGCCCAGAGGCTCTGTGCATCCTGGGCATAGACTACCTCTGGAGAAGGTATTTCAAGGACCCGAAAGGGTACTGGTGGAGTTTTGGCATAGCTGCCTTGGAGTTGGAGAAAATAAAAGTTGTCTACCTTACCTGTTGTGGGTTTGCTCAGGGTTGAACAACAACAGGTGCCAATTGCTACCACAACAGTGCACCAACAACACTATCCCACCAACTGACACCACCCATCCATAAGCTGATTCATCAACTGGAGAGCCAGGGAGTGATCGGCAGAACCCACTCATCCTTTAACAGTCCCATATGGCCAGTGCGAAAGTCTAATGGAGAGTGGAGGCTGACAGTAGACTATTGTGGCCTGAATGACGTCATGCTGCTGCTGAGTGCTGCCGTGCCAGACATGCTAGAACTTCGGTATGAGCTGGAGTCAAAGGCATTCAAGCAGTATGCCACAATTGATACCGCAAATGCGTTTTTCTCAATCCCTTTGGCAGCAGAGAGCAGGCCACAGTTTGCTTTCACTTGGAGGGGCGTCCGGTACCTGTGGAATAGACTGCTCCAGGGGTGGAAACACAGCCCCACCATTTGCCATGGACTGATCCAGACTGCACAGGAACAGAGTGAAGCTCCAGAGCACCTGCAATACATTGGCAACATCATTGTGTGGGGCAACACAGCAGAAGTTGTTTTTCAGAGAGGGAAGAAAATAGTCCAAATGGTTCTGAAAGCCAGTTTTGCCATAAAAAGGTCAAGGGACTTGTGCAGGAGATTCAGCTTTTAGGAATAAAATGGCAAGATGGGTGTTGTCAGATCCCAATGGATGTGATCACCAAAATAGTAGCTATTTCTCTATCAACTAGCAAAAAGGAAACACAAGCTTTCTTAGGCATTGTGAGGTTTTGGAGGATGCATGTTCCAAATTACAGTCTGATCATAAGCCTTCTCTATCAGATGACCTGGAAGAAAAACAGTTTCAAATGAGGCCCTGACCAATGGACAAGTTTTTGAACAAATTAAATAAGAAATTGCTCATGCAGTAGCCCTTGGGCCAGTCCAGGCAGGACCAGATGTAAAAAATGTGCTCTACACCACAGCTGGGGAGAATGAGCCTACCTGGAGTCTACGGCAGAAAGCACCAGGGGAAACTCGAGGTCGACTCCTGGGGTTTTGCAGTTGGGGATCCAGAGGATCCGAGGCCCGCCACACTCCAACTGAAAAAGAGGTATTGGCAGCATATGAAGGGGTTCAAGCTGCTTCAGAGGTGGTTGGTACTGAAGCACAGCTCCTCCTGGCACCCCGACTGCCGGTGCTGGGCTGGGTGTTCAAAGGTAGGGTCCCCTCTACACACCATGCAACTGATGCTATGTGGAGTAAGTGGGTCGCATTGATCACACAGCAGGCTCAGATAAGAAACCACAGTCACCCAGGAATTCTGGAAGTGATCACAGACTGGCCAGAAAGGAAAGATTTTGGAATGTCACTAGAGGAGGAGGTGACATGTACTGAAGAGACCCTGCTGTATAACAAACTGCCAGAAAATGAGAAGCCGTACGCCCTGTTCGCTGATGAGTCCTGTCATGTTGTGGGAAAGCATTGGAGGTGGAAGGCTGCTGGATGGAGTCCTACACGATGAGTTGCAGAAGCTGCTGAAGAAGATGAATCAAGCCAGTTTGCAGAAGTGAAAGCCATCCAGCTGGCTTTAGATATTGCTGAATGAGAAAAGTGGCCAATGCTTTACCTCTGTACTGACTCATGGATGGTAACAAATGCCCTGTGGGGTGGTTACAGCAATGGGAGCAGAGCAGCTGGCAGTGCAGAGGCAACCCCATCTGGGCTGCCCCAGTGTGGCAAGACATTGCTGCCTGGCTAGAGGAGTTGGCTGTAAAAGTATGTCATGTAGATGCCCGCATACCCAAGAGTCAGGTCGCCAAGGAACATCAGAACAACCAGCAGGTGGATCAGACTACTAAGACTGAAGTGGCTCAGATAGATCTGGACTGGCAACATAAGGGTGAAGTATTTGTAGGTTAGTGGGCCCATGACACCTCAGGCCATCAAGAAAGAGATGCAAAATGTAGATGGACTTGTGATCAAGGGGTGGACTTGACCATGGACACTATCGCACAGGTTATCCATGAATGTGAAACATGCCCTGCAATCAAGCAAGCCAAGTGGTTAAAGCCCTTGTGGTATGGAGGACGATGGCTAAAATATAAATATGGGGGGGCCTGGCAGATCGATTACATCATACTCCCGTAAACCTGCCAGGGCAAGCGCCATGTGCTTACAATGGTGGAAGCAACTACAAGATGGCTGGAAACGTATCCCATGCTTCATGCCACTGCCTGGAATGCTATCCTGGGCCTTGAAAAGCAAGTCTTGTGGTGACACGGCACCCCCGAAAGAAATCAGTGAGGCAATGGGACTCATTTCTGAAACAACCTCATAGACACCTGGGCCAAAAACATGGCATTGAGCGTGTGTATCACATCCCCTGTCATGCACCAGCCTCTGGGAAAATCAAATGGTACAATGGACTGCTAAAGACTACACTGCGAACAGTGGGTGATGGGACCCTCAAACATTGGGATACATATTTAGCAAAGGCCACCTGGTTAGTCAACACTAGGGCCTCTACCAATCTAACTGGCCCTGCCCAATCAAAACTTTTATTTACTGTAGAAAGGGATAAAGTCCCTGTAGTGCACATGAAGAATATGTTAGGGAAGACAATCTGGGTTATCCCTACTTCAGGCAAAGGCAAACCCATCTGTGGGATTGCTTTTGTTCAAGGAACAGAGTGCACTTGGTGGGTGATGCAGAAGGATGGGGAAGTCCGATGTGTACCTCAAGGGGATTTAATTTTGGGTTAGAATAGCCAATAAATTAAATTGAAAAGGACTGTCGTGGTTTAGCCCTGGCCAGCAGCTAAGCACCACGCAGCCACTCCCTCCCTCCTCCCCCCCCACTCCTTGGAACAGGGAGGAGAATCGGAAGCAAAAAGTAAAACCTGTGGGTTGGGATAAGAACTATCACAGCAAAGGAAGAGGAAAATGATAACAATACTAACAAAAGAATATACAAAGTGAGTGGTACACAATGCAATTTGCTCACGGCTGACCCAATGGACAGCCCATCCCCAAGCAGTGACCCCTTCTCCCCAGCCAGCCCCCCTTCTATACTGAGCATGTTGTCATATGGTGTGGAATATCCCCTTGGCTAGTTTGGGTCAGCTGTCCTGGCTGTCTCCCCTCCCACCTTCTTGTGAAAATTAAATCTATCCTAGCTGAAAACCAAGACATTGCCTCAAAGAGTAGCTTTTAATGCTTGCTACTTAAGGTGGACAAGAATAGGAATGCAGGTGCAGTATGTAATAAAAGGAAACTTGTTTTGACTTATGATGGATGGCCAAGTCTAATGATCTTCAGTGGTCGATCACTCCTTAGGAAAATGCTTCCTAGGTACCATGCGTTAGCTTTCTTTAATCATCCAGGTGGTGTTATAGGGGTTACTATTTTGCAAATTAGCTTTAAAGCCTAAAATTGATTGAGATATATGTGTATATGTATTATTTGGCTTCATAGTAATTACTTAAAATTGTTGAGTTTTCTTGCATGAATGTGTTACAGACTCGTGTACGGGAAAGCGTGTGTGAGTTGTAACTGCTAAGATGCAGTTTTACTGCAGAATTGGAAAGCTGAGTAAGTGATGCTGAAAAACAAAGGGTGTGCAATCCTTTATCTTGATAATCCTGTATCCTGTGACAATAAGTAATGCATTTACTTAACTGCTTAAATGGGAAAGATTAGTTACTATATTCATGCAGGTTCTTCTATTTGAAAAGCTTAAAAAAATTCTATAATATTCTTAATTACATTCAGTCCTAATCATATATGCAATATTGCAATGAGTGAGAGTCTAATTGCACTTGATTTGCAAAATAAATATCATATCAAGTTGCCTTGTTGTGTGCATATTGTCTTGTGGTCAGATAAATGGTTATTATACAAAAGAAACAGAGACCTTAGACCTTAGAGAGAAAATGAAATGCAGTGGAGTAGTTGTTATCAGTGTTATTTTGTGCACTAACATTTTTTTGTAAGTTAACATAGTAACCTGACAGCATGTACAATAAAGTTCAGTCATACACAAGTTCGGTGGTGATTTTGTTAATCTTGAATGTTTCACAATTTCAAGAAATCATTATTAAAGAAATCACGGGAACTTGAGAAAAACGTTTTATCTTCTAAAAGCAGGTGTAAATGTGCAGTGACTGTTTTGACAACTCATATAGAATAACAGATGAACTGAAGTGTGACTTTATTTCCTCACGTAATGATTTGTTTTGACCTCTTTCTGAAATCTGTGTTGAAACATGAGAGCTCTTGTTACTGAAAGGTCTGATTACAAATGGTGAAGTATAGTGATATCAGGTCTTGTGGTTTGGAGTATGGCAGGAAGAAGCAATGTCAAGTGATCTCATGATTGTAGCAGAATTCTTGGAAGGCTTTAAATGGTATTTTAATGCCCTTAGTAAAAAGTCGTATGGATTATTTTTAACAGGTCTTTTTTGTCCACCTAGAAAGTGTCAGGAGATCATTCTGTCCCTGTATGGAAAACATTATCTCAGCCACCTGTTTTTAGAATAAAATATTGGGAAATAATGAAATTCCTTTATCTTCCCTTAAAATTACACATAATGTAAATGTTAAAGCCCTTAGTGATCCATAGTGGATTCTAGTATATAGTTTAAAAAAATCAAAATCCCGTACAACTCAAGACTATAGCAAGCTCACTTGAGATTTAGACCAAGGTGTGTTCTGTCAGTTATTTTGTGAAAATTTTCTGATTTTTCTTCAAGAGAAAAGATTTTTCAACTGGTCTAAAATATGTTCATTTTACTCTCAAAGAATAAGAATAAATAATTATATATTTAACAATTTTAAAATGAGAATAGATTAATTTCTTTCTATCTTGTATGCTATTAGTGTGCTAGCTTGTTGGGATGCTCTTTCAGGAGTTCAAAACAAAAATTAAGTCCAGGAATTACATTATTTAACTTCCCAGTGTTTTCTGATAACTTTGTAAATCTCTGGCAAAGATTATTTATCAGATATGTGTGCTTCCTTCAGTTACTTTTTTACTTCAAAAAGTAGAGATTTTCTTACTGAATATTGTGGCCTGGATCTTTTAAATAAGGCTATTTCTACGATATTTTGAGAGTTTCAGAACGTCCTGTTCTGAATTTAGTAAGTGGAATCCAAGGGAAGGCAGTTTAAAATAGCAACTTGGTGAGATTAATTTAAAGATGAAAATCAACATTCACATTAGAAAATGTAGTAACTTTGTTAATGCCATCTAAAGAGCAGTCATTTAATTACTGTTTGACTGAAACCATATGGATAATGTAATTGTTTGTCTGAGCAACCTTACTTTTGGCATTTTCTCTTTTGTATTTTTATTGTCACCTTCAGAGTTATCGTGAAGAATTTCTACTCAGATGTATCACCATATTATGTTTCATAAATACATTAAGGTTGTAGCTCAGTAGTGTGTATCCTATACTCCAAGATACGTGTGGTCCTCATATGGGGTAGGGTAAGTTTGGAGCAGATAAAAGTATGTGTCAGCAGTGGTACTTGGTATTCTGAAGAAGTATCAGAAGACCCTTGTGTGGTTGATCATCTCATGACTTAGAGACTGAAAGCTGGTTCGTATTGAATCAGCACAATATATTTGATTTTTAGAAATGCTGAACAGGCTTCCCCATAAATGTGGATTGGTCAGGTCCAGGAAGAGTTATGTGCTGGACATTGATCACTGTAGCACTAGTCATGGAGTGAAAAAAGGAGTCTTCCTTCTCCGGGTTCGAGTGCCTCAATTCACATCTTACTTGGAAAGTCTTGGTCTGGCAGCCTGGGGGTAGGTTGCATTGAAACTTTAGTATCAGTTCAAGAAAGTGAGAGAGGGGGAAAATTGAGAGAAAATGATGCTCTTCAGCTGTGTTCTGACCCCAGACTGGTTAGATCCCAGGACCTTTTTTTCTCAAATAGGACTTTGTGACATGGATGGAGTCATCCCTCTAACAGACTGTAACCACAGAGGATAATTGTTATTAATGTTCTTGAAAACGTGACTGATAGTGAAAATAGCATAAAAAGCTGCAGTAGCTGTGGCCATAATATCTGTTACATCTTTAACTTTTGCAGTGACCATTCATAGACTCATCATTTATAGTGCTGCTTTATAAATTAGAGAAGTTTGCATCTTGGATATGGTTAACAGACAGAGAGTGGTTTGTGCTCCGTGAAAGACTACAAGTTGAGCAAGTTCATCGTGTTAATTTATTTCCTTTTGGCTAACCAAAACCTGCAGCTGGTTTTCAACACAAGCAATCACATTATCATGTTAAGATGAGCATTAGATATAACAAAAATGATCAGCCTTTTTTGACTCTGGTTATTCATAACACTCGGTCAGCACTTAGCAGCTTAACAGCCTGACAAGGAATTGCTCCTGGACTGGCACTTTCTTTGGAAGCTCTTGTGTCCTTTTCTGCCACTCTTAGACTCAAGTACCAGATATCACTATTTGCATTTATACCACAATGTTCTCCTTACTCCATCATATTCTCCCTCAAGGATTCTCATGAGTGCTTTTCTTTGCCATTAGAATATGCTAAATAAATTTATTTCCAGTACATTGCTATTCTGAAAAGAAAGACTTTGTTCTACCCTAGACATATGGAGACTCTGCTCTCAAGATGAAGCCTGTAATTCTTTTTCTATGGTTCCTCTGCTGCAAATACCAGACTACTTTTAGGGTTTTTTGTTTGTTTGTTTTGTTTTACTATCTGTCTGTCCAACAGCAAGTGGGATTCAAATGTTATCTCTTCTGGGTTCATCCTTGTTCTTTTCAGAGAACCAAAAGTACTCAGCATCTGTCAATATTTGTGGCCTGCTTAAGAAAACAAGGAATTCATGTTTATTCATATCTAGGCAGATCAGGTACAAGTTCCAGAGAGAAACCAAGAGAGATAACTCGGGGAAAATTTGGTCAGTGTTTCTAGTGGAAATAACCTGGTACTGATCTAGGCACAAGACAGATTTATTCTATTTCCTGTAGCCAACAGTGGTCTGTTAGAGGACAGTCAAGTCACTTTGGGAGGTTCTCTGTATATCATGTTCTTTAGTCCTAACCTATCTGCGTGTACGTGGTGGTGTTAGGTGGTGTGTGTTAGGTTTCATCTATGGCTGTTATCGTGGTGTAGAAGATAACCTGTTCAAGCATATATTGCTCTTCAGCAGTCATATGAATGAAGTAGTCATTATCCCATGCTGTGTTGTATATGAATTCACTCGGTAGCTTAGCAGTTTAGACTTCAGAGAGTGTTCTTCTCAGTCTTATCCCCATTGATGGTGTCTATTACGGATGCTTGAGAAGTTGGAGTACTCATTTGAATCTCTCTGAATCATGTTACCTCCAAGGGATTTCTAAGTTTTAAATTCATGCTTCAATACTGAGGACTTTCAAGTCTTAAAATATTATAGTCTATTTAAGGAATTCTGGTTGGTCATTACACTCTCTCAATAAGTAAGTAGTATTTGCTCTTATTTCCCATTCGTATGAAGGCATTTTTGAAAATGGCAGCATCTAATGATATTTTGTCCCATTCCTGTTACTGGCAGGACTGGCATTCAGTGTTGTCAGATTGTGGCTGGAAGTCATATCTCTGTGTCAGATTTAGGTTGTCACATTATTTTCTTAGGCCGTATAGTACTGACTTTTTAAGCAAACATCGTATTACCCTGTTGCTCAAGAAAGTACACTTCTTACCTATATTGGAATAGTCTTGATTTTACTTTAATACAAAGACAGTAATCCTGATTTCCTTTGATCAAGAAAGCAAATGAGATCAATGAATTTAAGCAATGAAACCAAATTCTTAATTCATTAAGTCAATCTTAGAATTCTGTTTGATACGGTCAAGCTGTTTTTCCAGTCGTCTTGAAAACATAGTCCCTTCTGCAAAACAAAATCACAGAATCATAGAATATCTCAAGTTGGAAGGAACCCATGAGGATCATTGAGTCCAACTCCCTGCTCCTTGCAACTACCTAAAACTAAACCATATGACTGAGAGCGTCATCCAAACGCTCCTTGAACTGTGACAGGCGTGGTGCCCTGACCACTTCCCTGAGGAGACTGTTCCAGTGGTTGACCACCCTCTCAGTGATGTCCTTTCCTGATGTCCAACTTGATCTTCCCCTGACGGAGCTTCGTTCCATTTCCTCATGTCCTGGCGCTGGTCACCAGAGAGGAGGTCAACACCTCCCCCTCTGCCGCTCCACTTGATGAAGTTGTAGACTTTGATGAGGTCACCCCTCAGCCTTCTCTTCTCCAAGCTGAACAAACCAAGTGAGCTCTCCTCACGTCTCTTGCCCTTGAGGCCTTTTACCATCTTGGTCGCCCTCCTCTGGACACACTCTAGTAGTTTGATGTCCTTCTTATAGCGAGAAGCCCAAAATTGCACACAGCACTTGAGGTGGGGCTGCACCAGTGCAGTGCAGAGTGGGACAATCACCTCCCTCGACTGGCCGGCTACGCTGTGCTGGATGCACCCCAGGACACGGTTGGCCCTTTTGTGTGCCGGGGCACCCTGCTGACTCGTATTCAACTTGCCATCAACCCAAACCCCCAGATCTCTTTCTGCAGGGCTGCTCCCCAGCCTCCAGTCCCTCAGTTTGTATGTATAACCAGGACTACCGTGTGCCAGATGGAGAATCCTGCAAAAAAACCAAAACCCTAACAAAGCTCTGGCATGCTAGCTTGTTCAAGTCTAGTCCTACAACATTTCTTTTTCTTTGTGAAAGTTCCATGTTGGTTCAGGACAGATGGTAGAAGTGACAATTCTGTACGTGCCCTAAAGAAACTTTTAGTATTAGCTAATTGTAGTTTTCTGAACGTAGATATGTTTTCAAAGGTTATTGGAGATACATTAATTGGCAATAGATTTAACAATATTTCTATGTAAGATTTTGTTTACTGTTTTCTAATTTATCTCAGCTTTTGAGAGAAGAAAACACTTGTTAAACTAGTTCACATTTCTTAGTATCAGTCAGTAAATTGCAGTCTTGTACTATTCTAATAACAAATTACATTAAATGGGGCTATCTAAGCTAACAGTAAGTACTGTGGTAGTGTGTGATGGGTTGACCCTGGCTGGAGGCCAGGTACCCACCAAAGCAGCTCTATCGCTCCCCTCCTCAGCTGAACAGGGGAGAGAAAATATAACGAAAGGCTTGTGGGTCGAGGTAAGAACAGGGAAAGATCACTCACCAGTTAGCCTTACAGGCAAAACAGACTTGACTTGGGGAAAAATTAATTTAATTTATTACCAATCAAATCTGAGTAGGATAAGGAGAAATAAAACCAAATCTTAAAAACATCCCCCCTACCCCTCCCTTCTTCCTGGGCTCAACTTCACTCCTAACTCTTCTGCCGCCTTACCCTGAGAGGTGCAGGGGGATGGGGAATGGAGGATGTGGTCAGTTGATAACATTTCATCTCAGCTGCTTCTTCCTCACACTCTTCCCCCACTCCATCATGGGGTCCCTCCCATGGGAGACAGTCCTCCACAAACTTCAACGTGAGTCCTTCCCATGGGCTGTAGTTCTTTTTGAACTGCTGCAGCATGAGACCCTTCCACAGGGTGCAGTCTTTCAAGAACAGACAGCTCCAGCGTGGGTCCCCCACGGGATCACAAGTCCTGCCAGCAAACCTGCTCTGGTGTGGGCTCCTCTCCTCACAGGTCTATAGGTCCTGCCAGGAGCGTGGGCTTCCCACGGGGTCACAGCCTCCTTCGGGTGCATCCACCTGCTCTGGCGTGGAGTCCTCCACGGGCTGCAGGTGGATATCTGTTCCACCGTGAACCTCCACAGGCTGCAGGGGAATTTCTGCTCTACCAGCAACCTCCACGGGCTGCAGAGGGACAGCCTGCCTTGCCATGGTCATCTTCACGGGCTGCAGGAGAATCTCTGCTCCAGTGCCTGGAGCACTTCGTCCCTTTCCTTCTTCACTGACCTAGGTGTCTGCAGAGTTGTTCCTCTCACATATTCTCACTCCTCTCTCCAGCTGCCGTTGCTGTTGCACAGCAGTTTTTTCTCCTTCTTAACTGTTACCCCAGAGGTGCTACCACCATTGTTCATGGGCTTGTCCTTGGCCAGCGGCGGGTCCATCTTGGAGCCAGCTGGCATTGGCTCTGTTGGACATGGGGGGAAGCTTCTAGCAGCTTCTCATAGAAGCCACCCCTGTAGCCCCTTACACAACCAAAACCTTGCCACGCAAACCCAATGCATAGTGCTTCAGGAAATGGCTGGATTTAATACTTGTTTTGTGGCTTCCCTTAACCTTAAGCGGATTTTTGTTCTATGAAATGTGTAAAGTTTATTTGTGCATTTCACTCATTGAAATGACTAATAAAAGGTACAAACACTTTCTTATTTTACAGGTCAACAGCAAGGACAGGATGGAGTTAAAGTACAGCAAGCCACAATAGCTCCTGTTACTGTAGCAGTAGGTGGCATTGCTAATGCAGCAATTGGTGCTGTTAGTCCTGATCAGATAACGCAAGTGCAGCTGCAACAAGCTCAGCAAGCTTCTGACCAGGAGGTGCAACCTGGCAAGAGATTGAGAAGAGTTGCCTGCTCATGTCCTAATTGCAGAGAGGGAGAAGGAAGGTAAATGTAAATTTTATCAGTACTTATGCATCTTATCACAGCTTGCCTCATTTGGGCATGAGTTTTTCTTATGTTGCCTACATTTTTCATGTTTTCTATTAGAAAGGATGTTTAGATATTTTTAAGACAGGGGATTATAATTGTCTCTATTTGTATGAAATATTTTTCCTAATAGCTAAAAATATTTTAGAATATAATTATTTACCTGTTTAAATTTTATCTTTTTTAGAGGCAGCAATGAGCCAGGAAAAAAGAAACAACATATCTGCCATATTGAAGGATGTGGAAAAGTTTATGGCAAGACATCTCATCTTCGAGCACATCTGCGCTGGCATACCGGTGAAAGACCATTTATATGCAACTGGATTTTTTGTGGCAAGCGATTTACAAGGAGTGATGAGTTACAAAGACATAGAAGAACCCACACAGGTTGGTCAGCCCTCTCTGTATACATAGTACAGCAAGTATGAATCGTAGTGGCCATGGTTAAATAGTGATATCAAAGTTCTCACTTATTAGGATCTGTGAAAACTTCTTTTAAATGTAAATAAAGTAACTTTAAAACAGAGGAAGTGGTAGATTTCAGTCTTCATCAGTTCAAGCTGACTGAAATCAAATAAATAAAACAAGAGATCTGTTCAAACTGTTCTTTTGTACCTATGCTAGAAGATGACCATTTCGTCACAGATAGCTGATGTATATTAGGATTGGCCATGGGCCAGGGTCATCATTTCCTCACTTGGACTAGCTCAGTCCTTAAGAAATCTACTAACCTAGTCCATACATGAGATTTGGTCTTCTTGGGAAGTTTCTTGAAGTTTCAAGTGAGAACTGATAAAGCAAGTTCTCTTAAGAGTTCAGATTGGAAAGGTGGACCTTTTAGAAGCTGAAAGTTTTATCAGCCATCATATTTCTAGCCCCAAGAAGGTGTGTGTCCCTCTCCTTCCCCTCCCTGTCCCCCACCCCCAACTTACAGCATCAGAAGGTAGCACTTGAAGTTTAAGCACTAGTTATATTTGAACAGTGACAGGACTTTTTAGTATGTTGAATTTATCTCTCTTGATGTAGATTTCATGTTTCCAAATTCCCTTCTCATCACTGTAATCTAAATAACAAAAGTGTTCTTAAAAATTATTATCAGGTCGTTCTTTCAGGGCTTTTACCTCTCCTACTCTGTCAGGTTTATGGAAGTTTATGGAAGTTCTCTGGTGACCTGAAATTCAAACTTCTCACCAGGTAATCATAGCATAGCAAATATTTGTTGAGAACATTTTAGTAGTGAAGAGTAGATTGCCAAAAGCCTGTGACTGAACAGAACACACCTGGAAATCCGACATATAGAGAAGAAAACATTGTATCCTTTTAAAGACATTTCCAATGTTGAATAGGAAAGGGTCAGATTCAAATGATCAAGCAGTGTTCAATGCTCTCTTTCAGTAACATTTTGGTTTTCTTCTTCTTTTGAAAAGGTGAAAAGAGATTTGAGTGCCCAGAATGTTCTAAAAGGTTTATGCGAAGTGACCATCTCTCAAAACATGTCAAAACTCATCAGAACAAGAAGGGTGGTGGAACAGCCCTTGCTATTGTTACCTCAGGAGAACTGGACTCTTCAGTTACTGAGGTTCTTGGTTCTCCAAGAATTGTCACTGTTGCTGCCATTTCTCAAGATTCAAACCCAGCAACCCCTAACGTTTCAACAAACATGGAAGAATTCTGAAAGGATCATTTATATGGACGCCTAGTGCTGCACTTATCCTTTCAGGATATGGAAGTGGGCTGGTAAAGTGGATTACAGAGCAGGAAATCATGTTTTCAGTCATGACTTCTGTAAGTGTTCCAGGTTGGAGGGTCAGCATGGGAAGTGTACACTGGTGCAACAAGAAAAAATTTCAAAAATTTCAAAAATACAAACAACGCAAATTGACATACTGGATAAACAGATGGGGGAATATTATTTCCATACTGTACTTTTTTAGTTATATGTCTGTATATCATGTAATGATTTTAAATGAACTTCCCCTCCCTATTTTAGCATTGTATATTAATGTGTTTATAAAATCAGATAATATCAATGTAAAACAGGGTGGACCTTGCCTAGGATTAATATAATTTGATGAAGGTACTTTGTTTTTAAAATAAATTTGTAGTATTTTCATGAGAACATCCTTTTCCCGTAAGACACAGCAAAACCGAATACAGATTGAACTATAGTGGAAATAGTTTAGGGTTTTGCTCAGTTCATAGAACACATCAGTTGATTTTGGCCGTCTTTTCTCAAGTTTTGGAATTACTCAAATAGCGGCTGGATGAGCATGCTGCGAAGTGGTTCTGAGGTGGACCTCAGATTAATTTTGACCACTACATTATAGTAGTGTGTATAAATGACAATCAGTGAGTTCTAATTCCTCTCTTTGTTTGGAGAGCTAAGGTTATGTAGAATTAGTGTATACGGTAGGAAAGATAAAACCATAGAAAGATATTAACGTAAGATTTTACAAAAGTAATGGTATCTTTATGTAGGATGAAACATGAATATGGCAACTTTTGTGTCAGTTTTGGTATTTCATTTCATTACATTTTAGAACATCCATGGTCCATTTGTAACTCGTAGGTAACATGAATCATAAAAACTCAATCTTAAGTATTTAAATGTTTTAATTTTGTTAGAATTCATGGAAATTAATCAGACAATTGAGTGTTGTAGCTCATTCTCCAGTATCTTTTCGCTGTAAATACTAGTTGTTATATTGTGGTTAATGTGCTGAGTTCTTTATGCTTTGACTTAATAGCCAAAGAAAAGAATTAATTATCACATTTTAACCAAAAAAAGGTATTGAAAGTAAACATTTTCTCTCTTTTCCCCTAAATATTACTGTCTTTATTTTCTCTTCAAGCATAATCTGTGGGCTGGTAATAAATACCTGTTACCTATCAAGTCTTACATTGAGCCTCCAACCACAAATTAAATTGGGGAAAGAGGAATATAGTTATCTTTTTACTACACAACTTTTGATTTCGGTTACATTTTCAGATGTGCCAGTTTAATAAGAGTATAGAGGAAATGAAAAACAACAACAACAAAAACAAACTGCATTTTGTATGTGAAAACTCCAGTATGTACAAGGAGGAAAGATGGCCAAATATTTCATACTCAGGATTTTTAATTACTTCCCATAGGCATAAATGTAACCTTTTACACATGCAGTCATTTGGTAATAATTGTCATGACCATTTTTTAAAAAAAATTTATACACCAAAATATTTTTGATGTAACTAAAGGAAGTACAGTGCAACAAGGATAAGTCTGGGGTTTTTTTCCCTGCAAATTCCAAAAGGAAGAATGTGTTTGGTAGCTGTTGGTTTGAGAGACATGACAAATATCTTGCGCATTCCCTCACAAAACATATACTTCTCATCTGAATACTTTATCAATCTTGTGGTGTTTTCTGTATTTTTGAAGCAAGAGAAATACCAATCATTGTTTACACTGTGTACACTTTAGGCCAGCCCTTTGTAGCAAAATACTAAGCTGAAGGTATTTTATACTTTCAGTTTACATAAAAAGCTTTGAGATTAAAGAAAAACAATTTTACACTGTGGTTATAAATTTCAAGTTTCTTAAAGCTTTTGTAGACTTGTAAGAGAGTCTTTAAATTTTAGTTGGGTTTTGTACATTATTTTGTATATTTTATTTAAAGTACTCTTAACTGATGTATCTGGATTTAAAACATCAGAATCAATTAGATGTGACATTTAATACAGATGAACATTAGGTAGTATTAACTGTTAATTTTATTATATAGGAAATGAAACGTCAAATATATATTTTATCATTATGCTTCACAATCAGTGCTATAAATTTCTTTATGCAAAGAAAAACTTTCCTAATGTTAATACCATGTTTCCTAGAAGTTAACAATTTTTGTAAACTGAAGTTATGAGCATTCTGCACAACCATTTCATATATAATTTTTTCATGCATACTTATGTATGCAGATAGGAAACTGAAGTAATTTTTAATCTGCAATGAATCCCTATTATAGATGTATCAAAATCTAAATCTGGTTGGCTTCATAGCATCTCAAGTACATTAACTTGTGTTAGCAGGTGCACATTTTACCGCTGGAATTAGAAACATTTTGACAGTCTGTTCTGCATACCATTCTGAATCCACTTTTCTGTCTTAAAAGGATCGTAAATTTCAATGTCCTTTATTTGACTCAGTGGGATATAGCTGTTGTAAGTAATAGGGCACAGATGTGCAGTAGTATCTTGTTTAATGGCATTTCACTGTTCATTCCCTTTGCCACCATTAAAAATTTTGCTTTATTGTAATTATCAGTGCAAAGTGTATTTACCATGGTAGAACTCCAGTGTTAGAATAGTTTTTTTCTTACAATATACTTTCTTTGGTTAGGTTCGTGTATGTGTTGCCGATTACATTAGAAATTGGTGTTAAGTCATTATTTATCACATTCTTTCACGAGAGCAGTAATAAAAGTGTGTAATCTAGGAGAAAAAAGTTAATTTGTCAAAGTTAGGTAAGCATGATGATTAGGTCCTATTTTTCAATTTTATAACTGTTTTATTGCAACAATATTTGTATTTAAGTCTTCATTTTAATGCCTTGTGGTGTTTTTTTATGCATGTCACTGAATTGTCATCCCGCAAGAATTGATGTGCAGCATAGGGTATTAAATCTGCATAATGATTTTGAAACAGAAAAATAGTTGATGGTAAAAATGTAAATGTTTTGCAAAAAATTCCTTATAAAAAAGTTTTGTAGTAATATTTCACTTGTAAATTTTTCTAAAAAAATGGAAAAGGAAAAAAATGAGAGTAACATTTCCCCACATCTAGAATTTAGAAATTAATTCTGCCAGCAATGCCTGTTAGGCATTAATTTGACACTTTTACAATGCTGATTTGTATAATTTTTTGGTGGGTTTGGAACTAAAATCATGTACAAGTTGTTGCCTGCAATAACATTTTGCAAGTAACCTATTAAAATTCCCTTGAGTTTAAAAGGTTTCTTCATTTAATTACTTACAATATAAAGCAGCAATAAATTATGTTTGAGTGATAATCTTTTCATCAAGAAGAACACTAGAAAGCAAATGCTTCTCAATGGGGAAAGGTTGGCAGCAGCTTCTGGATTTGTGTAATTAAGACCTGTACTTGCTGGTCAGCGTTTCCCAACTGGCAGACTCCCAGCAGGGAATTAAACCAGCAGATTCTAGCTCAGCATGAATTCTGTGGGGTTTGTTCAGCTCTTGGGAATGGAAGTTACGGTTATTCCTGAGCATACCAAAGGAAAAACTTTTCTAAGGTAAAGAGTATGAAAGCACACACAAAAATAAATATTTTTTTTTTTTTAAAAAGATAATTCCATATGAGAGAGAAATAATAGAAGTGTCATGATTGTATGGCAGATGGAATGAATAGAACAAATTAATGGAAAGCTGAAAGTACTGACTTCAACTCATAGCAAATATACTGAGCTTTTCTTCGTGAAATGTAAACAGGCTCCTGGACTGTGTTATAGTAAAATAACTTTGATGGTATACTAAATTTCTGATTATAATGGTATACCATTTTTTTTAATACTAAAAGAATTTTGATGGTAAGCCTTGCAGTACTTTTGCAGTGAACCAGTAGTAGTATTTCACAAAGGAAGAAATAAATATAAAGACCACTTGCTTGTTCCATCTTCCAAAAGAAGACGGAACTTAAAATTTGTGGCTTGTAGCCTTGTACTGCAAGACAGAATCGTCTTTCCTCTTTCCTCACTGAGACCTAAAATCAATTATCTTTATTGTATGTTTGATGAAATACCTGTTTAAGTCTCATTAACCTCTATTTCAGTGCAATGATTCTAATGTCAGACAAACTTATTAACTGAAGTCAAACTAAGTCATAATTCAGAGTAACTGCGTCTGATCAACTAATATGTCTTTATTGCCCAATTCTTTAGTATTGTGGCACTGGCATTTTTATTGTGAATTGCAAGATACGTGGTGTTTTGAAGCAGTTTCTAGATTTTTGATAAGACAGTAGTCCTCTACTTACACAGCCACCATTGTGGTACAATATCAGAAAATGTAACAAAATTTCACATAAAGACATGAAGGATGAATATGCATATTCCATTTTACCCTTCTAGTTCTTTAAACATGATCATTCTACTCTGTGAAACATGAAGTTTAACACCAAATTGAGTCATTTCTTCTACAACTTTAGATTCAGTACTGTTGCTATTAATTTAATTACATTTTATATTTATTGCATGCGCAGCTAGGTAGCAAATACTAGGGTGTTGTTTTCTATATGTAAAATTCATATTTTATTCATATTGAACTTGCTGTCAACTTCACTTCTTTATGCTTTGCATGTTCTTTTCCCCAAAGCTACTAGCATGGTTTCCCAATATCCTGAGACTTGTCAATGCACATGGAAATACTGTGGGGACCAACAGCTCGCATACACTATCCTTGCTTGCTAGAATAACTTTTGCAGGGAGAGGACAGCAAGATACCTTTTCTAGCAGAACTGCTTCACTCTGAAAATGGCTGGAAGTGATTACCAGCAGGTAGATTGGTGATGTGATCAGTTGATGTGAATGTGACTAAAGGCACTTTTCTTCAACTAAGCTAGACATTAAACCACCCTGAGTGTGGGATTTGGCTCAATGTGCCCGTTCTGTAATGCAAGTGATTT